AAAAAAAAACAAAATATATCATATTATTATCCGCTCGTGTATTATATAGTGAGCGTTTAATATGTACAATACACGTATATAGGTGGTACGCGTCTAAATTCTTTACGCGACGACCGGCTGCGGGCCACAGCAACAATAATGGATAAAAAAAAAATACCAAAAATCGTGACTCACCACCGCTAGCCTAAATATCATATTATTATTTTATCATCAACGACAATAGCCAACGCGATCCGACAAAGTACGAATGATATTTTTAGGACATTTTCGCCTCACGCCATATTATTATAAAATATTATTATTACGAAGTTCCGTGGACGTTAGAGATCGTCAAGAGTCGTGTAATGATAATATATTAACGCGATTTGTTGATTATTATTGTACCGGACACTAATCCTACAGTGACGACCAGCATCGGCAACTTGGCGTGGGCAGGGGGGGATGCCATTGAATTTCCTACGCTCTGCGGAGCTAGCTTGTTTTTTACCTTTTAATTAGCGGAAATTATCAATATTATCATAATTTTGAGAGAGCACTTTGTAGTTATGTAATAACTTTTTTTTGAAATTATAATTAATTTTTTTTTTTAAGATAGTTAAAAATTGAGTTATTATTGTGAAATATGTTTGTAGGCATCTCTGTGAAAAAAAAATACGCATGCCTATGACGACCAGTTGTAACTGCAGGCTCCATACATAATATATTTTCGGCCCTGGTACTGTTCCGAAATCCGGGCCTCTCTTAAATAACATCTAATTTTGAAAAAGTTTTTCTAATTTATATTGAAGTAGTTATTTGCATGAACGCCGGGCCCCTCGAAAGTCCGGGTCCCAGTACTATGGGTCCTTCTGACCTGCCCCACTTCGTGAAGTCGCTGGTTGTAAGTACCTACGATTATTATAGGTAGGTATGCGTGAGGCAGCCAGCAGTGTTCGTAAAAGTTTCGAAACGATTTCCTCAGATTCTACGTTTAAGTGTTCGTCATTAAACGTATAACATGGGTAATAACATTTCGATCGTCAAGTAATGATGTGATATAAACTATTACGGCGCCAACCGATTCAAAATACTTATACCTATACTCGTACCTAAGACGACGGTGAGTATAAACAATATTGATGTAAAATACGAGTGCCTATAATATATACGAGTATTATACATGACTATAATATATATATGACAATGGATATAAACAATATTGAAAATGCGTCCCGAACGACTTTTAAGTGGATACCATACTACGGTTACATAGTACGAACAAATTTCAGAAACGTCTCTTTCGTATATGTTTTTCACCATATCTATAATAAAAATACGGAAATATCTGATTTTACTTCAGCTGTAAACGTATAAAAAAACATTTAAAACAAAAAATCGAATTTCAGCTTTGCTACTATAGTAATACCTAACCTATAGCTTTTATTTTTTATGACATATATCTCGAATATTTTAGCCGATATGACAATTGTTGCTCTGTCCGTTTCCATATAGCCTAACGACTGCAAATTGTCATGGTAATAATTTAGATACCTACTCAATGCTCAAACTGAGTGTATATACGCACGCGTGGTGATAGAGTCAATCATCTTTTAAAAATTATTATACTTATGAGTATACCGTTCTAATTATATTATCCAAATCGATAAGACATTTATAAACCTAACTATATTTTTTCTACACTTTTGCACCCACTATAATTTTTATTCTCCGTGCATGCACTGTAGATACCTATATTATACTGTCCAAGGAACCCAATTTATTTTATAAATAAAATACCAAGTACGGCGAAAAACAAAASGTTTTGTTCATGTGGCGGAGATGAAGCACTGTTTTCCTCAGATTTTTTTTATCAAACTGTCCTCCTATCTCGTACCTACCTACCTATCTATTATAAAACGTCAACAACAGCGGCTAAAGATTCCGACCGACGATTTGGATAATATTAATTATTAATTTTTTATTCGGTATATTTAACTGCGGTTCGAACGACCACTACGAACACATATTGTGGTCCGTCTTTTGAAAATACAAAAAGTTTGTACCCGTCGCAACAGACTATATCAGACAAAGAAAACAATATCCACAGCATTAAATTATATTTTACCACACGTTAAGTGATGATCTGACCTCGGGCGTCGTAAATCGTAAGAAATCGAATTCATAAGCCTGTGGCTAGCGTAGGAATTATACGTATTTACCATATAGTTTTATTTCCACGCGAGAACAAAATATTCAGTGGACAGTTTTAATGCGCACATGTGTCATATAGCAAAAGATAAAAGCATTGGATGTGCCATAAAATCTGAAATGGTTTTCAAAATGCCATTTTCGACAATTCTCAATGAAGATTTTWTAGGAATGATCATATAATATTTTATTTACGCAAAATATCGAAAAGCACTCGAATTCCCGATAACATTACACATTTTTGAAGTGAAACTGTGGTTCAAAATTTGAGTTGAAAAAAAAAATACATAATATATTATGTGACTGTTCTCGCCCACGCTGCGATTCGAATTCATGACGTCATATCTTTTAAGGCAGAATTCTTGAGRACGTAATTTTATATGGTTTTGTGCTGAATTCTTCATTATTTTTTTTTTTTTTGACAATATATTTTTTTCTSATCGTTACAATTTTCATGTTAACCAAATAATAACAAAAATGAAATTAACGTTATATATTATTACTGTATAAGTTATAATTTATAGCACACCCATATAAGTAGGTTGTCATAGAAACTAACACAAAAAAACGAAATCGCAAAATCTGGATAAAATACTAATCTTTGTAGTCAGATTTTCTTTAATGCTGAAGCTATAGCAACCGATGATTAATATGAATTACGTTACCAAAGCAACCCCATTATGGTAATTATAACTATTCATAATAATTATTATCATAATTTTAAATACACATTATAATATTATAATATATCATATTATTATTGTTGTTGATCCTGCGCAGTGTTGCACGTAAAAACTTAAATGCTTGTGTAGGTATTTACTACTTCTTAAGCTTCGTTGAATGTTAACTGTACAGATTTGAACAAGATTATGTTAAAGTGTATGTGTGTTGTAAGCATCCACAGACGAGTCGATTGCACTTATGGCTCTGAAATGTGGTGCCATCAGGTGTCCTATACCTGATAATGCTCACCTCGGAGACAATTTTTTAATTTCAAATTTTAAAGAATGGCTCACACAGGGATTTGTAAGCTAACAAAAAATGAATGAACCTATGTTCTGTTCGTATATACCTAGTTTTCATTGGCTACAGAAAATAAAATAGTATTATTATAATAATTGTACATTATAATTATAAATATGTCTACCAAGTGTGGTGAAAAGTCAAAACCGCCCAAAACAATTAACGAATTTAATAAGGGGTAAATTGACGGACATAATATATACAATTTACATAAAGATTATATGAACAAAGTATATGTATATAAAAATCTCTGTGTGGTACCCTCTTTAAAATATCAAAAAATTGGCTTGGAGATGCACATCCTCGAGTGTAGGATTACAAGCTGCAGTAATGTACTAAATTTCAGAACAATCAGTGCGATGGCCTTGGCTAAAGATCTCAATACACACACACACACTACCTTTTATTAATATGTATACGTTTTTAGAATGAGTATTTTTCTCTTTTTTTTTTTTTGTACCATAACACAATAGTATAATTCAATCCAGTGGATATCAATTTTATTAATTTATATAAATATATATATATATAATATATATGGTGCACACAGAGTGCCGGATCACAGTATTATGCAATATAACAGTTAAAATAATAAAATAAGTTTATCGTCGTCATTGTTATTATAATATAATAGCCATTATGTTAAGTATATAATATTATATTATAATTATCATTAATTGTTCGACGACGATGTATGTATATAATAATATTATGTTACCTATACAGAAAATGGCATGTGCAGGCGCCAACGTCGTCCAGCGTCGAGAAGTGCGTTTTATATTATACTATTAACTACAGCGAATATATTGTACCTACGATAATACCGAAAAGAATAACACATTTTCACCTACCTGCAGCAGATGAAGCGCGTTCGGAGTACAATGCTAGTCTTGTACCGAGCAGGTTACCGTAGAACTGTTCGACAGACAGTTCGACGTCCCCCGAACATCCTGATTCCCCACCTCGTCAAATAAAATATAGTTTCGGACCCTTAACCATCCGCCACCCTATTGGCAGAGCACGACTGTGCCTACTACCTCTACCTGCGTCGACTACACTGATGCACGCATTATTGTACTAACTGCGCGACACGTGTTTGTCGCGAGTTTTTACCTCCCCGCGAACAATGACTGCAACAGCGAGGACGCGTGTGATTTTTATAACATTTTTATGTTATATTGACTTATATTATTATTATTGTKTTCTATACTTACACAGTGAATCTTCCACGCTCCGTATTTCGATTTGACGAAATTTTCTGGTTAAACTAATTTATTATTATTATTAYCACGATCGAATTAGAATCAAACATTTTATGTAACCAGTCGAATCTTCGATTATGATATCGGAATCTATTATAGTGCTGTGTTATATTTTTCGTGCGAATTTATAGCTATATGCTATTTTTTTAGTGCCCATCGATCGATATCTGATCAAAACTTGCAGATAGGTAGTTTGATTTTTTCACTTAAGGCTCCATATAAATAACGAGCGCTTTCGTGATGTCTACGACTAGTAGGTAACCGTGGTATAACAGGTGTGTTGTGAACACATATAATATTATTATTATTATTATTAGGTGCATTATTTGCAATTGAATTCTGCCGTTTTATTTATTTACTCGTCTTAGCGACTGCGCGTTTCCTTTCAATACCTATTTTTTACAGTCGGCGGTCGTCGCTACGTGATTATTATAATAATACCACCGTATGCCTAATTAAGGTTTTTCAATATAATTGTAAAATAAGTATTAATAAAATCTTTTTTTTTTCCGGTCGTCACTAAGGTAGTTAGGTAATCGTATGATTTTCCCCGATGCCACCTCAAATCGAAATAAAAACCTTAAACGCCTACTCGATCATTAAACTTTGCTAAATAACATTATTATCTATTTATACAACTTTCTAAAAGATCGTCGAATATAGGATATAGGTGCGAACGTTAAAAGAAACCATAAATATTTTAATGCGATTTAAACGCTGGTCGTAAAATTGTGTTCAGCAATAATTATTTCTCGAAAATATATTAAACGCGCAAAACCTACCTATATTCCCTACATATGAACGTTTGTCACGGCAACGTTTAACGCGTGTAATATGTCGTCCGCTGGTAAGACTAACTATTATATAGGTAATATTTTATATTATAGAATGACTCATGCTCAATCGTATGTATCTTTAAATAGTAATGGGTTTGTTTAAATTTTGATTTTCAGAATTTTTAAGTAGGTATAGACAATATTTTAAAATACTTTGATTTTTTTTTTTACGTTCAATGTTTATAATCCTTCATGGCGGTACAAAATTCTTTATTTTTCTTTCAAATAAGAACTACCATATCACTCATTTATTTCCCGTAAATGGTTGAGTATTGATAGTTGTTTTTTTATATGCCAGTTCGGACGACTAGTAAGTAGTACAATATCATACTCACATATATTTTACGAAATATAAAGTGTATATAACAGATAGTTATAAATAACTTTGTATTCTAAATCTTCATTACCTCCATAACTATCAACCCTATTATCATAAACCTATAATCTTCAATATATAAAATTGAATAACTATACTCATTAGATTTCTGATTTTGATTCATCTATATTTTGTAAAAATTATTTGATTTATAATTTATGGTGAATAATTATAATTTGACCCAACATGTTTGACCTAAAATCCTTAAATAGTGTATAAATTTCGACGTATTTTTAAAATCATTGATCGTCTTTAAGCATACTTGGCGATTTAAAAACACATTATTGAAATAAAAATTCGTTTGCGAGTAGATAATATACCCACTTTGTTATAGTTGGACACTGTTGTTTAAATTGTGTATGAAGACATATTTAGACGAGTAAGAATAAAAAATAAATAATAACTTAAGTCGGTCATCGGAAGATTGTATATGTACTCGTATATATATAAAAAAATAAACCAAAACAATCAAACAAATCTAGCACTATAGTATACATGTACATCTCTATGTGTCAAATAATACCTAAGATTAATGATTCATTAAAAATGTAAGTGATTATTTTTYCCCCGCCGACCGTCATAGACGTCAGTCGTACAATTTCAGTTATTTATTAAACATTTCGTTTTGACACGACGACAATATTTTGAAATACCACAGAAAAAAAAAAATTATATATCGTATTTTACGGTGCTGTAGCAGTTGTGCATTGTTACGATGCACTATAATGGACGATATACATTGTATATATAAAATAAATTAAAATTATATGWGCATTATGCACCTATGTAGTGGACTATTATATACAGTGCATGAGTTTTTGTTTTTTTTTTTTAATAAATATAAATCATAACCATAATAATTGTATAAAATATTGTTTTTATTGTAACAGTCATAGCCCGCACCTATAAGGGGGACTCAATTGTTATAATATATAGATTAGTCATTTTGTCCAGTTACTCAAAATTTGTTAGTTTTTTAATTTGAGCACTCGGTTAGTATGCAGCTGATTTGTCCAATTATCGTACCTATATGATATAATATAAGCTATATATATAGGTATATGGATCATAATAAAATATGCGGGGTTGATCAACGAAACAGCCGGAGAAATTTCAACGATTCATCTTTAAAAACGTGCTTTGTGTAAGTGCACACACACACACACACACACACACACACACACACACACACACACACACACACACACACACACACACAATAAGGGTACAATGTACATACACGCATGCATTTCTAAGCGTTTCTCCCCTCAGTTATGTACCTATATGGCTATATACTATTATACTACATAGAATATTCTCGCCTATGTGTGTATATAAAATGTACCTATATAACACAAGGTATTCCACTATATATGAACACATACTCACCCATTTTTTTCATAGATATTTTTTTTTTTAATTCTCTTGAATTTTCATACTACCTACTTGTTCAGTGAATCATCCTGTACCCGTTTAAATATACACAGAATGTGCGTGCGTTTTTGATCTGATGGACCGGGAGACGATGATCAGTCGTAGCATCCATATGGACCCGTATAGTATAGTGTGCACACTCGAGACGAGTGTCGCATATATATATATATATAGTATATTGTATATGTATATATGTATATACTCACGTACATTATCAGCGCATTCTAGCACCACCTCCACTGAATGATACACACACAAACATAATATAACACGTATAATGTATATATATATATAGGTCYGTCGCCCGGGATTTCGATCATCGAGACAGAAATCCGTGCATTGTATTCGAACGAACATCGAGAAAATAATATAATATAATATTTTATTCCACGACACGCACATGCACTCGCCACCATCACCGCAGTCTTACATATATATCATATTATTATTATTATTATTATTATTATTATATTGTATTCCTTTCCGGCCTGCGCAGGACGCGTCCACATCCAGCAGGTGGTTGTAGGTATATATATTTTTATTATATGTGTAGGACAGTAAGAAGGAGAAAAAATACCATCATCTCTCGTGGTTATATACGGTTTGTTGTGTATATATATATATACGACGTACGTGTTATATATACATGTCTGTATTTTGAGCGTACTTATACGTGCATAACACGTGTTATACAGGGTGATGTCTAAATGTGTCATTTGTGTTCTTGTTTAAACATGTCCAAACCCGCAAAGATTCCGAAGAAATGTATAGGTTTTCTTGGCAAGTTCCTTTYGGGTAGATTATAGAGTCTCAATAGAATAGTATCATTATACCTCCTTTGTTACGTTAAAATGTAAAAATATTTTTATTTTTTTCACTCAATAACTACGTAATGTAAGTACCACCAACTGTGCAGCTGTTAATGAGCCCTTTGCAAGGGTGATGCGGGTAAGTTGCGAATAAAGAACCATATTTTTTTTCTTTCTTGGTAACATTATTACATAGGTACACTATACCTGTTCATATATTAATTATGTCTTATTAAATGTCCATTGTGTGTGATCATTTCATATGAATACCACTGCTCCGCTCGTAATTTTAACAAATACGTTTATTATAAAACCATCCGGTCGGACCTAAAATTAATCTCTTAAGCAATTTGCCATTTTCCAAAAAACCTGGATCTTAATATATTATTTTACTTATTTTTTCATACCTAGTTGAATAAGTTTTATTTTCATACATTATCCTTGCCACTGCAGTACTTATAACAATTGCATAATATTACTGTAATTCAGTTATCGCCATCSTTAAACCAGTGGTGGATCTCCGATATTTTGATAGAGGGGGGCACATATAAATTCTATAATTTTAATTTCAATTAATAGTTAACTGTTATAATTTATTACTACCTAATCGATAAGACTCAAGAGCTGTAAATCCTGTTGTATCAGTTTCAATGCAAATAACGATTATAACAATTAATAGTYGGTACCTATAGTATTATTCTTATGAACTAATTTTTTCATAACTCGTAGTTACATAAAAACATTTTTGATAGAAAATTAACGGGGGGGGGCGCCCCTGCGCCCCTTCCCTGAATCCGCCATTAGTCTAGAGGTGACTAATATCCTATACAAGTCAAATGTTTCGAACTAGACACTACRTCTAATTTAAACGTCTTATAGATGCCCACACGTGTTATCTATCAGACCTATTCTGCAGATGTTTGGGTATCAAAACCGTTAGATTCACCGTGGACGAATACTAATTGTTAGGTTGGTGGAAATAAATTTTAGTCTAATCGATGAAGGTCACACGTGAATAAATGATATCGTTTGGTCAAGGTGCCTGTAGACGTCGTCAAAATGGGACATTGCCTATCACTTAAATGTATACAATTATTATAGGTAAAAAACCAAACGAAAAATACTAAA